AAATAACTCGGAAAAATGATATATATATACACTCAATGATTGTAAGTTATATTTTACTCATTCAGTTTAACGCATTCTAAATTAGGCAAACTTTTTTACCAAAAAATTAACTAATTTTAAAAATTACCATTAAATACTATTAATTATGATGCGCAACATAAATGGCCATTGTGCGGTTTATAGGTTTGCTCCTAACCTGTTATACATGAACATAATTTTGTTTCACTTTCTTTCTTTTTATTTCTTTTGGCTCAAGCAATCGGATCCACCAGCTCCAAATCAGTATAAAGGAAGGCGAAGTAGTCTGTCAAGAGAAAAACAATCGTTAGATGAATCTATCATTTTGCACATATTTTTAAAAATATTGAAAAAACTGTTTTCAATTGCTTTCTGACTCAACAAACTTCGTGGAAAAAGTTATTGAATGTATATCGGCAGCTTGTGGTTTGGTAAAAGCGTTTTGTTGCAATCGTTTGTTTCCTACGAGAGCCAAAACATAAAGTCACTTTTAATCTTTTTAGAAATTCATTGTTTATTGGATTCGATAAAAGTAAACATTTATGTCTGTCGCCTCTGAATATTATACCTTTCCAATTTATAAAATTGTTTTAATATCGGGTGGTCGCTGATAAAACAAAACAATTGTCAAACGTTTATTTTTACAAAGAATAAATTATGTAAAAAAATTTAAAAGACACATTGTACATTACACTGATATATGCTCAAATTTCCTTCCGTGCACTTTAGAGCAGTGTCATAACCTAAAAGTGCAAGAAATGAATAAAGACCAATTTTATTCTTGAGCTCATCTGACCTTCAAATTTTCTGCTTTTCTAGCGACTACCTTTATAGTGAAATATCTCTATCCGAAATATTTAGTAAACTTTCTGTATAGTGTTGAAATTGATTTGCATGTATTGCTTATTGTTTCTTATATATATATATATATATATACTATTTTTAACTCAGTTATGCTATTGTACGGTGCCAAGTTACTGAAATTCAGGGCCTATACGGGAAATAGGATATAACTACTTCATCAACACATAATGGGAAGCTTAAAATATTTCTGGAACTGTTATACAACAAAAACTAAAATTAGTATACTTTCTGCTAAGCAGTTTTTAAGCACACTCTAAATAACTTTTTCACATATAAGCTCTATATTATTGGTACATATTAGGACAAGATATTATTCAGAGACGCCGGTTTCAAACGAACAATATTGAGATGAAGAAGAATTTAAGATTTAACTTTATTGTCCTCGTTCTATATATATATATAGAACAAAAGCACGCAATGAAATTTACATTTGTTTGTTTTAAAATGATACTGAGATTTATAAATTCGTACTTATATCAATGTAAACACTAAACACCACAATTGAATGTTTGAAAAGATTTTGGAAAATGTTAAACTAATGAAAATTTACATAGAGACATCTTTGAAAATAAAACTAAAGTTGGGCTTGGTGAATGCTCTAATTTAAAACAAAGGCAATGTCTAAAATCCTGTTAGAATACCATTTATTTGCATGGTTACTAAAACTGTAATATTAACCATCAATAACTCAACAAGAAGAAAAAATAAGCAATCCGACGGACGCTCTTTTTAACGGATTAGGTTCACATAATCACAATACTGTTCAACATAACCAATATAACTGTACTTGGGCTGGGAAGCTAATATCCACTATAGATTTTATTCATGACAACCCGAAACAATGGCCCTTATATTGACTAGCTGCACTAAGCGTAGAAATATTATTCAATGAAATAAACTAAGAGAAAAAAAGAACTGTATAGTGTACACGAAATGTTAATGTAGCAATTAACTTCCAAAAACAGAAATTTTAATAACCTTCTTACACCGAGATATTACAATCCCACACGGCTAAATATGACGAATATGCTCAGACGAAAACATTGCTAGTAATCCGGTTAGTCTTCATTTCTAACGTCTTTTTCTAAAGTCATTTTATAATCAGTAAAATTACCGATAATGCAAAAATATATTTACACAGTTGTCTGTTTGTCCGAATCACAATTGCTCAATTATCCTTTCTCTAAACAAAACTGAAATTCTAGAAGTATCTCGGTTTATGTCATGGGGTATAAAACGCGCTCAACAGGCAGGTGTCAGTGTACTACATTTATTTCTTGTTTTGTTACTTTCTGTTATCGTTACCGCATTTCCCATATTTAGATATATGTCCAAAACTCTTTCAATACACGTAAAAAGCCAACTGTAAATATTTCCAGTTTCCCGCCGATAGCAGGCAGCATTCAGGCACAAATCTCTTGGTACTCACGAAGTATGTGAATCAAGATGGCGGACACCGAAACATAGTATGTTTACCAGGTTAGGGTTAGGTTATAATTTTATTCCAATGTTGCATAATTTTGTATTACTAGTTCGGGGTCTAGTCAAATGACTCCCGTAGTATTTGTACTTGAAATTATGGTCTAACCCTAACCTGGTACACAAACTACGTTCTGGTTTCCGCCATATTGGTTACATATTGGTTACATACTTCGGGAGAACTGATCTCTGAAACAAAAAAGCTGTTAGCAATTTTTTTTATTGTAAATTCAATAATTTTATTATTGCTTTAATTTAGTTGTTTTAATCCATACTTATCAAGTTCGAGCCATACTCAATGGAACAAAATATAGGTAAAAAGAGTAGAAAGAAAATTGATGTGTTTAGGGAGCCGCCGCGAGTAGCAAATCAAATACGCCTTTAACTGTTAGAAAATTTTGTTACTTTTACCTGCGTTTGAATAAATAATTACCCAACATTTCGGAAAATTTGATATTTTTTTTCTCGTTGTATGGCAGGAATATCAAATTGGTTGATATTATAGGTTAATGACAAATCCAGCCACAGAGTCGAGAGTTATCACATTATAAATTTGACGCTGTCGGGAATATCTTTATCCATTTCCATTGCTTATTTATACCTATTGTGCCAAAAATATTTCTACGATTACAACACATTTTTTTCTATTCATTTGAACTTAAATGAAACCGTATCAAAAGCTGACGTCCCAAGTAAAATGCGATTTTCCTCACCCTTCATTGCCAAATAAATACCAGTCCAACTTTTCGAAAATGTCCTCTAGAACTTAAAAATGGTTTTCTAACTGTAATAATACTCTCAATTTGATAAGCATTTTTTTAATCTTGTATAATGCAATTTTAATAAACACAAATTCATATAATGTCAAAATAAATCAATACGACGAAAACCTATTTTTATCCCTCAAGTAAAAGCTTTAATTAAAAATTGTAATGATGTATAAGCTTGGCTATGTAACACTTATATATTTGAGAAGACGGGTAAAAAACTTAAGTTTATATTAGTCGCCGTTATATTTTACAAACTCATTCAAGTATATTATTTGATGGAAACAAAATAAAATTTTTAATATCAAAATGCAAAAAAAAAATACGGTGATTGAAATTTTACAATATTGCATTGTTTGCGTCTGCCTAATTATATATTTATATATAATAAATTTACAATAGTTAATATTTTAAAATATTGAAGCCATAAATCGATTGAAAATTTTGATGCAACTAAATAAAGTATTTTGGGATGCCACAGGCGCTAACTATATTTATGCGCGTTGGATGACCTTTTCTCGCCGTAAACAACTCTGGCAAATCAGAAAACTTGATTAAACTGCTGCAATTTCCAAATGACGCCAAGACCATGTTTTTACTATCCACAACAAACAAATTTCCTGCTACATCAAGCAGCCATTTTTTTGATGAAGTATATGAGAGATAATGATAAGTTACGGCGTTATAAGTACGACAGGCTTTGCAATACATTTGATGGCCTTGTCCGCAATACGCTGAAGTTGTCGTTCCGGTTCTTGTCTGATTGGGTACAACATCCAAGGTTTTGTTACTTCGCTTTTTTCTGTTTATTGCTTTAATACTGGACGAATCCTCAACAAATAACATGTCCTTTATTTTAACCGCAGCACTGTCAACGGTAAAATTATATTGCACACCGTCTGCATCTTTTGTCCAAATTTCCAAGTCATTATTGAAATTTATACTTCTCGGTTTAGAGAGGAAGGAATCAGAGCAAGCATAAGCAGAAATGCTATTGCCTCCTGTGACTACAACAAATGTGTTATTTTTTAAAAAATCCTTGACACCCGGTAAATTTTCTTTCCATTGGTTGGTTGAGGCGTCATATAAAGCCATCCAGTTATTGTTCACGACATAAATGTAGTCTTCTGTAGTTGCCACTTTTGTATTCGTATCGAGTTCATGGCAGATCATTGACTTTTTCTCAATAAGTCTTTTGGATTTGTTGACGTAGTACAACTTGTTTCCAGTGAGAAGACACAGCTTGCCGTTAAAGTTGAATATCTGACTATGTTCGAGCTTTAACAAACATGGGATCTCAATTGTTGCCTTCGTTGCTAAATCTAATAGGAAAATGTGGCCATCGGAATACAGGAGAGCAATGTAGTACATGCTATAATCTGGTTTGCTTTTGAAAACAGCATTTACGATTAACGTCAAACATTCTGGATTTTCTTTAACCAAATTATTTTTGATGATAACGTTCTCGATGAATGTACTTGGCAGTTTTTCCAACTTGAATATTTGCATGAATTCGACTAAAGCTGATTTACGTTCGGCTAAATCATGTTTAATCCAAGTCATACTCGCAAAACATTTCCACTTTTCATTTGTCAAAAACTCGTTTTCTTCATCTATTAAGATTGACATGAGCTTTTCTTTAGTGTGAAGTTTGAAGTCGTTCTTTCTCGAAAGCCCTGCGAAATGTGACGCTTCATATTGGCGATACATTTGTTTAATTTGCTTTGGAACAAATCTGAACTCTTTTGCCATTTTCTCAAGAATGTAGAAATTGTCAACACTGAGATTTTTCTCGAACATTTCAATATCCGTAAAAACATTTTCAAATAGAAGGTCCGTGCATTGTTTATCATTTCTGAAAAGTGTTTCCTTTCACACTGCTTCTAAAAATTTGGAAGAAGGAAAATCCTTCCAGTTCAACTGGTTGTAAAGCTCAAAAATGAACGGTGAACGATGTTCAACGTCATGGTCAATCCAACGTATAAAGCACTCCCATGTAATCATGTTCGCCGAAAAGTTGGTGCTCTGAATATACTCGGCAAAATCAGATTTTGGCATTTCTAATAGTTCAGAAGCATCTTTAACGTTATATGTTTCTTGTAATATTGAAAGAATATTTTCTTCCAGTTCTGTGATGCTAAATTGTTTTGCAATCAGTGAGATTTGAAGACAGGTAAAGTCCCGCAGATTTTCATTGAGAAATTCCACACAGTAGTCTTTGAGAGTTTGCAGGTGCATGAGTTCTACTGTTTGCAATACATCCTCTATAATTTCAATATTAACTGAAACTTCGCTCGTTTCTCCAGTGTACATAAATTCAATACATTGACCAACAACACTTGGGTTCACATCGTTCATATCTACGAATCCTTGCTGATTTTCTTTAGTGTCGTGAGACAACATTGCTCGGAAATATTCTGACTTAGTCATGATCAAGTCACGATGAACGTTAAATGACTGTTCACCCACATTGATAATAAAGTCAGTTGGAACTCCTGCGTCTCTAAGATCTTTTTGTGATTCAGTATCATTTTCGCTTGAAGGTGTTTCAATTGGATTTTCAGACATTTTTAAATTATTGTTTTTGCTACATCAATGTTTAAATCATTCACTGTATTACTTAATATAATTCTGTAAAGTAATCGATTTCTAAATTATTATTTTTTTCAGTCTCAGGTGTCACAATTCAAATACGTCGATTCAAACGTAAAGTCGGAGTTAAAACTTTTTTACGAGAACATTTAGGGATGATTTTCCACTGATATCTACTTAAACGTCATACATTTCTGACATAAAGATGCTATTTATATAGTCTTTTAGACTCAATCTCACAAGGAGTTATATTTATTGAGTTGATGCAAAATAATTATTAGATATTAACATATGTATACTTTATGTTAGTTTCGACTTTATGTCGAGCTGTTGAGCTCAGAATGTTTACAAATAAGCACGAAGAGGTGTAAAGTTTCGCGCTAAGAATACCCAAAACTTCCTTACTCTAAACCAAAGGCTATAGATAAATTTATCAAACAACCTGCAGTAAACTATGTCATATGACAACTTGCGACATACTCATTATATGAACCACAGGGTAGCCTAATATAACACAAAAATCATTCTAGTGATCTAGTGCAGTGATTCCCAACCGCCGGTCCGCGGACCGCTGCCGGTCCGCGAAGCTTTTTTGCCGGTCCGCGAAAAATTTCGTTGTTTTGTTGTTTTTATGTCGTCTCAATCGCTTTACCGTAGACAAAGTTGCGTTGGCTCATTACGCAATTCTCCTCCTCCCTCATATTGCGACATCTTGGCGCCGATCATTTACAATTTTCGCTTTTTCGGCTCCGATTCATCGCGAATGCGCTCCATCAAATCTCGCAAAACTAAGAAGCCTAAAAATCGGCTCGCGTGCTTTTTCTGTTCTGCGTGCCTTTCCTGATTAATATGACCATCCATATAAAACGTAATGCATATCTCATTGTTTAAACCAGAAAACTGTCAAGAACAGTATAATATTCCAGTAAGATATGAACTTGTTGCGACCCCACAGGTGGTCGAACCGCGCAAAAAGCATGGGCCGCAGAGATTTTTTCCAGACACAGTAAGATTTTGAGCCTGATGCCAAGTTATCGACGACTTTGTCATTGTAATGTAAATTCATTTTGTTTGAGGCGTCGATCAACTGCAGAGGGATTAATAAGATGGACCCAATGAAAAAGAAATGGCTTGATTAAAATGGCGATTCTACTTTACAGTCCAGATTAAAAAAGTATTACTTGTCACAATTTTAGATGATAACGAATACCCATCGCCTAGTAATCGACCAATCAAACTGTTGTCCGTCTTTTCAGCCAGTTACTGCGTTACGCGAAAAAACATTTTCGCTAGAATTATCACTAGATTCAATTAAAACGAAGAAAATAAATTGGATGCACGCGGCTGCAGAGCTGCGTGTTGCAAAAACTTCTTTGAGGCATCGTTTGCAATTTTACATTGGAAACGAAACAGCAGCAAAATTCTCACAGGAGTTAATTGTGAGTGTATTGAATGTGAGATTTTTTTTATGCGTGCCTTTCTAACGCATAATGGGTGCCCAGCACTGCATTTCATTACGCAAATATAGGGTATTATTTTATGCTCCACCCATTTTTAATTTTTGGTCGGCACATTATTTGATAGTTTTTCTCCGTGTGGAATGTTTTTCAGTGTGCTTTTTTGTCTAAAAGCATATTGAGTGCCCGACATTGCATTATATTACGCAAATATATATATGTTATTCTTTTTTGTTTCGGCCATTTCGATTTTTTGCCGGTCCGCGAGTATATTTAATCTGATTTTACCGGTCCGCCAGGGTAGAAAGGTTGGGAACCGCTGATCTAGTGTATAGTGTGATAAGCTTGGCAAACATTACGTAATATATAACGACATCGTTGGCGAACTAGGCTACTAGACAAACCCGCGGGATTGCTCAAACAAAAGATAAAGTGTACACTACATTACACTGTAGAAATGTTTGTAATTTCGCGGCTGCTTCAATTGTAATTTTCGCACATCAAATTATAAATCATTGTCTTTACACGATTTTTAGTTTAACAAAGTTTGTGTAAAAAAGAAGAAGCTCTAAGAAAAATGGTTGGTATACTTCATTTCCATTTTTAAAATATTTTCACAATGTTTGCACGATATTTACACAAATACATACCACGTAGGTGGATGTCACCTGGAAAATTAATTTCAATATTAATAATATTTAATATAATATTCTATTGGTAAAAATATGGGCACTGGGAATTACATCTACAAATGTAAGAAAACACTTCACCAATGGCACTGGAATGAAGTCCGTAACAACGTCTCGCCTGACGTCATGTCTATGTTGATATTCAAATAATTTAACTAGACTTATGAATTATGACCATTCCATGCTTAAACACTTACAGGCTTTCAGGGAAGGTATTCCATAAAATATTGGGATAAATATTTGAAATAACAAGACTTCAATTATTGATTAAAGTAGTACATTCATTGATGGGCTAATAAAGTAAAATCTTGATGGGTCATTCAACCAGAATGTCCGTCATCATTCGTTATTACCGCAGGATAATTATTATAAACGAAAAGGTACGTATGTCATATTCTTTTTATTTTCTAATTTTCGGAGTCATATTTTGTTGTTTTCTTTAATGTATGAGAACACTTTTTAGGGCATATGGGAACACTTTATTCCATCCGTTTCAAATTTACAATATCAACGGGTTTTAACATTACCTCGTTATAAGCAAACTTTGCAACAAAGCAGTCAAATGACGGAAGATGGTCATCGCATCCCTTATGTTAGAAAACGTAATAAATTTACGTATGCTCGATACTTTATTAGTAACTAGAATACACGAGTAGATTATTTGAATATGTCTCGTTCGATACGTGTCGCCTGTTTGATTCTTTTGATTCTACGAAGTAAATTTTCAACGTGCAGGCGAGCTATAGCCGATGTAAACTATTTTTGTACTTATTTAGTTTTAAAAAGTATCATGAATTGCAGGGAATCAGTATTTCACATATTATTGTATCAGGGAATTTGTTTTTTGTCTGATATTTCGTGTTAAAAGTTATCTACTTTGGCATAATAAAAATATTAGCATCAGCTGTATGTACGATAAATGATTATTGCTTCCATCCTATTATTTTTCCCAATATTGATTTCCAGTTTTGTCAGAAAAATAAATACTTTTCCTTCATGGCTATTGTGTATAATTATCGCATTTCAGGCCACAAATTTACGAATATGATCTTTCAAACAAAAATGCAATACCACAAAGGGGCAGAAATGTCGACATTTAGTCAAATAAATAAAAATCAGAATATGAATTTGTTGAAAATTTATGTGATAACGTCATGTCTCGCAGACAACATATAAAAAATATTTGAATTATAAAGTTGTTATGTTCATCAGATGAATGTTGCTTACAATAATACAAACCCAAGCTGCTTCATGAGTAAGTGGTGAGTTTTTCAGAAGTTAAAACAAAACGTCGGTAAAATAATTGTCACTAAGCTCTAAAACAATGATAATGTTTAAAAATGGTGTGTAGTACATGAATTAGAGATTTTTCATGAAATCATATATTTTTATTTTCTATGTGTCAATATTTATGTACAAGGCCTAGAAACACTTCAATAAAACTAAAATTTATAATCAATATATTTTGTTGGTATTTTTCTACTTCGGCTCCCCAAATTATATTTTTGTTGTTAACATTCATTGATGTTTATGACTGATTATGACTAACAGACATTAACTTAACAAGATGTCTGCACTACATTTTTGAAAGCTATTTTATGAAAATGTTCGCCAGCAGTATTTTTTTGTACCAATCGCTCGCTATCTACTGACGTATTTGTTTCAAATTGTACCAATAAACATACAACTGCGATTGAATACATACAATATTTTAATTGAGACCTTTACTTTGAGAATACATATGAATTTACAGTCGGGACACCAACTTATTTTGCAATTCTAGGATTTGAACTTGGCAAAGGCACAACAATGGCGGATCTTATTCAGGTGAAAATAAATTTGTTATTATTCGTTGGAAATTATTCAGTATAAAGCACGGTATTAGCAGGGGTTTGGAGTAGAAAATCGGTATTCGCCATGTTCGGTTCGAAGAAATTGACATCCAATTATTACTCCCGACTTCGGACTGAGAGCAATTTAACTCCGTCTCCGGGCCCTGGGTGGAAACTAACCGAACTCCGATCACATTGGATTAAAGTAAAAAAAACATAGGAGTAATTAGGCCTCTAATATTTGAAGAATTCCTTGTATACCTAGTGCTTTTGGAGTTTCTGTGGAAAATCCCGACTTTTGTTATTAATATTGGAATGTACAAAATTCATAATCTCGACTAGGGGAATTTAAAATTTTTACTCCGAAACACACGCACGTTTCGGTGCAGTTTGAAAATACAACTCTGGCTCCGACTCCGAATCCAGTGAAATCTTGCCAAACTCAGAATCCCGACTCCAAATCTCTGGTTTTGATTTTATACTATATGTTTTTGAACAAATGTTTGTACGTGATTCCCAATTCCGAAGCAGCGTCAAATATCATTTATTTGTAGCAGCTTACTAGCGAAATATCGTAACAACATCCTTCCAGTTTGAATATTGTTCAGAACAATTCATTACCAAAAAGCAGAGCAAACAACAAGAAACGATTTGCTAACATATATGCGGTGATAGTCGTATTATTATGCGTAACTATGACTGTGGAGACAGACAAAGCCGGGTTGACAGCAGTGGTAGCAGCATAAGGAGATACCTTATGAAAATATAATTGAGGGACAAGTTTTAACGTATAAATTGAAAATATTAAATAAATAGGTAACTTTTTACATTTTATAACAAAGATATTAAGTATTTTTCAGACAGTGGTAACAGCCTACCAAAGAAACATTGCGTGTGCTGAAGTTAGCTTAAAAAGTAAGTTAAAAAAAAATGGTCGGCGGTAGAAATGATTATGTCGAATAAATGACAATACATAAAACATAGCGACTCTAAATAGG